GTGTACAGTCAAAAACATCAAAAGCAAATCTGAAAAAACCACCCATACAAAAACAACAGAAGAAATCAAAAATTTTTCTGTGATTTCAACATGTGGCTTTCTTTTGGCATTGACAGTTTTCTGGCAGTGTCCAAGTCAAAACATTCCCTGCTCGTGGTGGTAGATAAGGGAGGCAGACAAAGCCAGATCCATGTCGGATGCAGGCAGCAGCAGGCAGTAGGCTTAGGGCAAAGGTGCCACTTCTGTGACTTTCAAACTCAGAGCAAACCAGGCTGAGCTTAGCGTCTCCCTGTTAGTGTGAGCCCAGTGTGCTGTCCTTAAACCCCTCAGGCGCTCTGTTGCAGCCTGACACAGGTCCCTGACCACAGTTGTTTCCTGTAGCTCTCCCTCACCCTGTCACTGTGAAAATGTATCACTGGTGTCCTTGCACTGAAACTTTACAATAGCTGCTCTGAGTCCTGGATTCAAACATTGAGTTCATCCCTGGAATGGTGTCCAAGCAAGCACTTTCTCCATGGTGACCAGTAGATAAGACTTACCTACTGTTGCAGCTGACAGCATACATCCATCTGTTTCAACACTGTGCTTCCTCCCTGAAGCCCTGCAGCCTGGTCTACTTTTACTTTATAGAGTCAGTCTTTGTTTCTACTAAGCCACAAGCCAGGAGCTAGGGACAAAACGACATGGCCCTTCCTTTTTCCATATTGTGTTCTCTCTTTCATTTCTCTGTACAAGTAATTTTCCTGTCAAATCCTTCCTCTTTCTAGGAGTTCGGTCCTTACATTTTTTCTACCTGTAGTTCTTTTGCAGGGTCTGTATTCTGAATCTTGGAGAGGCTGAGTTATTGCTTACCACCCCATCCTGTTTTAGAGATGGTGTCCAAGATTGGTGGTGTCCTGTTTTTAGAGATGGTGTCCAAGGTGGTGTCCAATACCAACATGATATTTGGTATTGTCATAGGGAGGCCTCAGGAGAGTCAGCAACAGCAGCTCTTGAGACTATAAGCTGGCAACCATGTGTGGGTCCACCTCCCAGAGGGAGCACTGTGTTCCCTTGGCTTCAGGATTTTGAAACTCTACATTGGCAAAATTGATAGCTGGTTTAAGAAAACTGTTGGAATCTATATTCTAGGCTTTTTCTACACAAACTCCACTCTATAAGGAGGTTTCAAAGCTGAGGACACATTACATTCCAAATCACCCTACCTTCCTGTGGGCTGTAGGGAGAACGCAGCATAAGCACAGAGCTAGGAAGGAGTGTATCCTTTCGTAAGGGAAATGGCTGGCTGTGCTGAAGCTGACAGAGGCCATGATGAAGAGGCGCTGATGGGGAGAGTGGATGACAGAAAGTGGCCATACTTAGAAAAGGGATGTGGTAAAAGAGTCTGGAGGGGGACAAAAGAGAAGAAACATCACTGTTAGGTTTCCTCAAAATTGTTATCTGTATAGGGTGAGGGAAGTCCTTTGCAGTTGAGAACAGTCATGGGGATGAAGGCCATGATGCCCAGGAGGGACATCCAAGGGACTTTTTGAGATAAGGCTTCAAGATCACTTGGATGAGGTGGGGGTTCTAAGCTATAGTAGAGTGTTCCCAAGAACTAGGAAAGGGTTCAGGAACTGAAGGTGACAACATCCAAAGACGCTATATAAAGGAAGACTGTGGACTGGACTCAGAGAGTAGAGACCCCAGGCCTAGGAAGGTGAACAGATCTACCCAAGCAGTAAAAGCTAGGGCCTGAGGGTAGATGGTGCCCAATACTAAGAGGCACAGGAGTTAGCATGTGAGATAGGAGCTCCCCACAAGAATGGAGATAGAAAGAGGATGTTGTTGGAGCACTGTCCTCCCAGAGCTGTGCCACATGGATAGCCTGTTTCAGCGGAGAAAGATCTCAGCTTGTCAGATGCTGTGATGGATTTGAACCAGGTTAGGAATCCCTTGAACAAGGTCTCATGTGTAGAGAGACAACAGCATTAGCTTAGGACTAGCACAGATTTTCTCACGGAGCTAGAGATCAAGGACAAGTGCTGCCACTGAGTTGAGGATTCAGGAAGGGACAAGGGTGACCAGAAAAGGAAAAGGAAAAGGCCACTTGATAGGGGACATGGTCTCAACCTTCCAAATCTTATAGGAAGTACTTAGTGAGATCCTTGAGCACACCTTGGTGGCCTCATGGTACATGCATATACCACTTCCAGACTCAGAAAACATGCAAGTTCTTTTCTCCTCTGAGAGACCCATGAGAGTGTGAATATGTCCCTGTCACTCATCTAGTGCTGAAAACCTTTGCATTGAGAAGACTCAGAACGAGCTCTGTGAGACAGGGAACTGTTGAAATCAGGTTTTCTGGTTTCAGTGGGGTTAAAGTTTACCATGTTTAAACTCTACCTTCTCCATGTTCCTGAGGCAGGATGCAGCCACCATCCTCTGGGAAGGTAAGCTCCTGCCTTATCTTGATCCCCCTTGATGGGAAGGGAAGGGACTTCACTGTTGTCTTGTTCTTAAAGAAGTCAGGTGGAGGCGCGGTCTTGGGTCTCCTCACTGACAGCTGGTGAAGGCTGTATGGTGCTCAGACATCAGTGACCACAGGTGCTTCCTTTCAGTGATCATGTGAATTCCACATGGCAGCTCCATGCCCCTATGTGCTGACAATCAGGCCAGGTAGTCCAGGGCCACCTGTGATTCCTTAGATCCAAATGAGTATTCCTTTTTTTTTCCAGCCGGGGAATTGATTGAGACCTTGAAGTCGGGCTTCCATGGTAAGTACCAAAAGAGAAAAGAAAGAAACAGGCATGTTGCATTGCTCACATCCCTTCCCTTCTCATAAGCTCTCCTTTGCCTCCTTTGGCCAGAAGGCTGAGGGAAGGTAGTAGAGTGCTAACCAAGGATCTGGATCAGAATGACCTGGATGGTCCTGCAGCTCAACAGAGTTCTGAAATCTAGTCTGTCTGCATATTATGGCCAGAGGCCTGAGGACAGGTGATAGATGCCAATAGACCTAAGGAATGAAATCGGGTTTGCTGTGAAACCTCACACTTGGAGTTCAACCTTTGATCATCTAAGAGCACTGCCTTCTGCCCAAACCATAAACCTCTTCACTGTCATCCCTTCTAGAACCATTTTTCTAAATTTTGTGTTGCCGATCTCTATTTCCCTGTACTTCTCCTTGCCAGGGTCCACTTGTCCTTTCCCTCTGAAGTCTTCCTCCAGTATACAAACTGTCACAGGTACATGGAAGGTATGTCTGTGTCTCAGCTTGCCATATGTATCCTGGAACCTCATCTTCTATGCCCTCCTTGCTCGGCAGCTTTTCAGCTTTTCACTCTGGAGTGATTGACCATCCTTGTCACAGTCCTGTCTTTTCCTACTCCCATCTTCATTGTCCTTAATGCCTGCTTCATATACTGTCCCTCCCCCTCATGCCTGATGCTGGCCCCTTCCTAATGGTTCTGTAACTTTGTCTTATTCCAAGCTGTGTTCTGAGGAGCTCAACTGGGGCACTGCTGTAAAGATTTGGCAGTCACTTGACAAGTTCATATGAGTTCTCTCCAACAGCGTCTTCCTCTCCACAAATCCCAGGCTCTGCTCTGCCCAAATCCTAGGAGGCCCAGCCTACTCTTATGTACGCAAGGTGACTTTCACCAGGTTGACACACTGATTGGACTACAGGCCACCCTTCTCTGCACACCACATTTTACCTCTTTTCCATTGTAGGTTTGACTGGTATTCACAAGAGAAATAAGGAAATGAGGATTGGGATATGTTCTGGGAAACGGCCATTTCCTTCAAAGTGTCATTTTGCCAAGCTCAGAAAGTAAATTTACCCAACTGTGAGAGTTAGCAGGGCAGGACATGATACCATCTGATAGGATCACTATATCTCTGGGGTCAACTTTACTTCTGTTGTGTAGGCAACTGTCTATGCCCCAGCCAAAGGTTTTCTCATCTTGAGTAGGTGCTCTGCCCCTGTGAAAATGTAGGTGCCCCATCCCCTCTCACGGAACCAGAGAACCAATGGTTTCCTTGTGTTGCTATGCGAGGACAACTCTATGTTCCTTGTGTGCCTCGCCTTGGGCTCAGGTCATGTGTGTCCTCAATTTTCTGCCTTTTTCCTTAGTACAGTATTCTCAGCCCCATGTTGGTGTAGAATGTCTGAGTGCCCTCCTCTGTGAGGGAGGACTCCTGCGTGGATAGATGACACCCATTTTCACAGCTTTTTATATGGAAAATTTACTTTGTTTCCACACTAAGATTTTAAGTCCAGCTTTGATCCATTCTTAGAAATGTTGGTGACATGTAGAATTTTCCTTGGGCTATGACTTAAAGTTCCTTAATACTTTCATCCCTGATATGTTTTCTGACCATGCACATGAAGCATTAACTTCAAAGTGGAGAATCTTCCCTGCAAGGCCCCTTTTAGTCTCTCTGCTGTGGCACAGTAACTTTCCACAAAATAGTAAAAATAGGCCAAGTATGGTGGCTCACACCTGTGATACTCACAATTGGTGAGATGATGCAGGAGGATGGTTTAAGCTCAAGGCCACTCTCACTGTGTTGTCCAGGCTATTTTTGAATTTGTGCCATTTGTCTTTCCTCAGCCTGTTGAGTGATGGAATTACCTCCATGTGCCACCAGTCTCAGCTAGGAATTGAAGAATTCTGATGGTATACCAAGGTCTGTGTGTTACAGGACTGTCTCTGACATTGCCATAGTTTATAGTTGTCAGTCCTGTACACTGCAGAGCTTACCAGGAAGGAATGAGGTTTGGGACTGTGATCTTCAAGGGCAGCGGGACTCTAGGCCAGGCTACTTCCTGTCTTTGGCTTCCTGACAGCTCGGAGATGAGATTCTCTCTTATACCTCCTCTCAATGTGCCCTGCTCCTGTGGCACATGCCCACAAACATGGCAGCAAAATTTCCTCTTTTTTATGTCTCTCTGATATTTGCTTACAGTGGAAAGCTAATGTGTGCAGTAACTCAGTAACGGAAATTCTTTTTTCCAGGTGCTGTGAACGGATTGATGTTGGGAACACTTGTGCAAGATATAAAAACCTTGACTCTAATATATTAGACCATACTAATGATGATGGTCATAGAGTCTCTAAGAGATTCTCACTAGAAAACACTGCCTGCTACAATACGGATTCTCACCATTTTTCCTGATGCACTAAAATCTGGAACAAAGAAATGAGTATTATATTCTACTGTGCTGCAAAGCATGTCTTGGCTTTTGGACAAGAATTACTCTCCAGAGAGTTCTGTTCTGCATGAGCAACATGTTCTCTAGATCTTTCCCCATCTTGAAGTTGAAGTTGGCCACAATATCTGAACCTTCAATTCCCATGAAGTGCCAATGTCTTGCAGCATTTCACTAAAACTAACATTTAAGGAATTTGAGTCAACTTGGTGACTCAGCCTAGTACCTGGAAAGTTGATTCATTAAGGCCCCAAGTTGAGGCCAATCTGGAAAACTCAGTGATTAACCAAGATGCTGTCAAAAAGAAAAAGGCTTGGAACCTTGCTCAGGTCTAGGCCCTGGGTTTACCTCACCTTGTGACAACAACAAAGAAACAAATGCAATCAAATAAGTTAAGCTTGTGGAGAATAATGAAGTGATCTGTCCTGACACGGTAACAGATGTTGAGAAAGTGAGAGGACAGTTCATTATCTTATTTCTTGGAGAAAGCTGCATGCTGCTGATCAGTTTAAGAACAAGAAATGCTCTTGTTTATTCTCAGCTCAGGTGCTCTTTGCAACTACAGAGACAGGAACCAAGCAAATGGAAGGTCTCCATCTTTTCTTTCCTTTTTTTTTTTTTTGGTACTGGGAATTGAACTCATGACCTCAGGCTTGCCACATGAGCATTTATACCACTGAGCTTTATCTCTGGGCCCCATCTTGATATTCATAATAGCATGATAAAGCTAAAAACTGCAATGAGAATTTTTATTTCAAACAATGTGGAGTTACTACACCATACATATGAGGGTAAATCTTGTAGCAAGGAAACCAGCCATTCCACTCCAGAGCCAAAATCTGACAACTGTTGAGGACACAAAGACTGGTGCAAATCCATCTCAGCCTAGGAACTACAGCCAAAAGGTAACAAGCACCCAATCATGATCAGACTCTAGGACTTGGAGCTGTGACTTTCTAGACAGTTCCTTAAAGACTTTTCCTAATCTGAGGAGATTCTTAAGACAGGATTTCAAGGGTGAATGACCACAATTCTGGTCTTTTAATGCTGGTAGGGGTTGACTTTTAAGATAGACCCTAAATGCGGGAGTGCAGAGGCTTTTTGGGAAACAGACACCTAGTATTGCTCCAAGAATCAAATCTAAGTGTCTCCCAGTGGGTACTTCCCATGCCATTTTGTGTGATTGCACCAATTACCATGCAACAGAGATCGTACATGAACCAAAACAGTGTAAAACCAGGAAGTGGACATCAGAATTGCTCTGCAAGATCCCTGCATGTGAGGGCGCACAGAGATGCTGGTACTAAGGCTCCATTCTTTGTGTGTGTGTGTGTGTGTGTGTGTGTGTGTGTGTGTGTGCTGAGCTACATTTCCAATTGTGTTTTCATTTATATTTTAACATAGTCTCTTTATAGGACTAAAGTACTTCTGGTTGATTGTGTACCTTCCCAACCTTGCAAGTGCTGGCATTACAGGCATGCACTCATGCCAAATGCAGTGGAGAAGCCTGACTTTAAATGGCTTCTTCCTTCATGGGATATTTCATGTTGTCACTTGCTCTGCTTGCTCTACCTCCCTCCCTTCCTAACTTTTCCATCAGACTTTCAGCTCATTCCGTATTTCACTCTTTCCCAACCCACTGGGGGGAATATCACTAACATTGATCCCACTTATTTCATTGAGTCCCCATTAATATTGATCCCACCTATTTCATAGACCTTCTTACCATCTCACTTGCCTGTGGCTGGATGTATTTCCTTCCAACTGTGTTGCTTAAAACTGTTTCCTTCCCCAGCTGGCTTCCTGTTCTCTGACACTCTCATCTCCCAAGGTGGTTCTGTATGACCACGCAGCATCCATGCCGCTAGATATTTTTTCCACTGCATTGACTTGATATGTTTAGCTCTCCTCATCACTCATCTTACTCACAAATAGCTGATATATTCTCGTTTATTTTCAGTTGTTTCTGCTTTACTAGATTTCCCCTCTATTATGTAAACCTGACATGAGTAGTTGTGAGATGAATCCTCTATGAGAGAATAACAAAATGATGCCCCTCCTTTCTTGTGTCTTTCTCCTTGCCCTGCACCATTGGCAGGAAGTGTCTCTAGGGCAGATGATTTTGTTTTGTGTGGGGTTTACTGTGATTATTCAGGCACCCAAAGGGTTTCCTTGCTTCATGCCACTCCTCTTGGGTTTTCTGCCTCAATCTCCATCCCTCATTTCCTGCTTTAAATGTGTAGGTTACACTGTGCTGCCTCTTATAATATTCTCGGTTTTCCTTGAGCCTGTTTGCTTTGCTTACCTGAAAAGAAATTCCAGATTCTTTTTCGCATTCATGAAATTTGGTCAGTTATAAAGAAATCAGACTGACAGAATTATGCACATTTGAAGTTTCCAGATAGTTCATCTTTATTTTCTATGCATGAGACATTCACAGCCCTGTTCTCTTTCAACACATGTTTTTTACTACCTACCTGCTCTTTCACATGACAGATACGTGAATGAAGCTGAGTTTAAAAATGATAATGCACAGTGAATAACGAAGGGCTGCATGATCTATATTTGCAAGTTTTGTGGTTATAAGTATAACCATGTGGTTATCAGTATAATGCATTTATAAATATCACAGATAAAAGCCTCCCTTAAAAATAACTGTATACATGTATCAGTTAAAATACATAACACAAAACATTCTAAAAATAAGTTTATCTCTACACTACCTCAATATTGCTAGAATAGAGTAACATTTCTGTGGACAAAATATTGATAATGAATAGAGAAGAGTTCTCACTATACTTACAAGGAACCTACGAGTGACCTATCACCTTAATGTTCTATTTTAAGTAAATACCTCTCAGGTAGCACTCTATAGACAAACTTCAACTGCTATCAGGAATATGGGCTATAAAGACTATAAAAATAGTGTTGTCCAACTTCTATCTCAGAAGCAACTTGAACATAAAATGTACAATGTTACAGGGAAAAACTGGATTTTCATTGTTCCTCCCAGGGGTTCCCAGCTCCAGGAAGTTTGCTGTGGTGATGCGATTTCATTGCTTCCCACGGCCCAGAGACCAGAGTGCAAGAGAGAGACAATGTGAGACTTCATCGGGTCAATTTTCTTGAAGAGAAGATGGACACATATTAGTCAATTCAACTAGAACTTCTATCAACTGACAAATCCAGTTTCATCGCTAGCAATTTCTTCTTAAATCAGGTCTGGAACAGTTATTTCCAGGTATGGTTTCCAGACTTTTTGACCCACATTCTGAAAATCACTAGAGATGTTTAAGCCTAGCCCCAACTTCCTGATAGACAGGCAAAATTTGAGGTGATTCTTCTCAGTGATTAGAGCACTTTTGGAGCAGGCAGCACATTTCTTCCTAACTTGCTTGAATATAACATCTGCACTTCTGTCTCTGATATGAACATCACTACTCTTTCCATTTCATGAGAATTAGCCTGCATGCCTGCATGCCTAACTCCAAGTGTGATGTCTCTCAAAAATACTTATTTGTGAATTTGGCTAAATGTACATGTTTTAAACAAAGCCATTACTTATTCTTCTACCCAAACAAGTACTACAATGTGTGTATTGTAACGAGCAGCAACAAAGTTATTGTATCAGTTTCTCTTATTCTGAAAGACATCCATGACTGTTACTTGAAAAGATGTGTAATGATGTGAGGAGAGAACTTCATCTATAATTGGAAAGACAGACGATAGGAGAAACTTCCATGTGCACTTAACCATAAGCAAAGTGTCTACACTCAATCTGGGATGTACACACAGTCAGCAAGATTATTCCCTTTCTGCATATGCAACCAGTCCCATCGGATAGCTTCTGGCTTAATCTTCATCTTGTTAGAAATAAATCCCTCTCTCTCTTGTCTCGGAAGAAGGAAAGGCCCTACCAAAATTACAGGGATAAAAATACTTCTTCTGGAGTGTATTAAAAAGTTGTGGGTAGTAGATATTCTCTTGGAGTAAAAATCAACCTTTCATCCACACTGTGATTTGCAAACTGTCTCTGTGTGAAATGATTTTACCAAATCATTGCTCAGGGACAATGTGTTCATGTGAGGTCTGAATGATGAGTGTCCCAGCACGTGAAACATCTCTCAAAGGTCACATATGTCTACACCTCAGGATGGTGGCTGTGGTGTCGAGAGAGGAAGGTGAACTTTGTATCTGGGTCTGAGCTGATCCCTCAAGTGTAGACACTGGAAAGTTTGGGAGTCATGACTAGAACAACATACATGGGTTCATTGCATGTCTAAAATACACAGCAGTGTTGCTTTCTAAATCCTGGGAACACATATGTACCTTTTTCAGGCAGATGTCCTCAGAGCTGCAGGGTTTCCTGAGGTAGGGTGCGATCTCGCTTCCACACCCAGAGCCCAAGGACGTAAGCTTGGATCTAGAATAGAAAGCAGCCCCTGAGAGGATAAAAACCTCCTGCAACACTACTTCCTTGTCCAACTTCCATTTCTTTCTGATCCCCAATCCCCAGAATCTCCTGTTGCCATCTGTCTCCAATCCAGCCCAGCCCTCCTAGCAGTGCTAAAGGCCCTCCCACCTCCTCACACTCCTCTCGGGTCACCCTGAGCTCCCAGCCCATGCAGCAGATGAACTCATAGCGAAGCTTGTGGAACTTGGGAATCTGGGCCAGGTTCCGCCCATACATGAAGAACATGTCCAGTTTTGCCAGTTCATTGTCCTCCTCCATGTCATTGACTGGGTATCTGGGAAAGAAAGGTGGTTGGTGATTAGGGACAGGCAGTAGTTACATCTCTCCCAGGTCAGCTCTGGAACTGGACAGGCAGTCATCCTCCCCTCAGGAACCCATTGGCCCTACACCACACTGCTGTTAGGTATCAGTGGAGAGGCTAGTATAAAACAGGACCCTACCAAAGATTCTTCTGACCTGGGTGCTGAGGCTAGAACCCATGTGCAGAGCCTGAGATGGACTTACACCCAAATGTTGCACCCACCATCAGACTTCCCTGAAGATCAACCTCATGGACTACACATGAGGGGGGGCAATTGGAGAAAGGTGATCAAGGTATATTTTTTGTCCATTCCTCTCCTCCTGGATAGCAAGTATATGGCTTGGATCTTAGGAGGTATGAGTTGTACTTCTTACATATCTGTTCTCATTGCTCTACAGTCCATTAAAGAGGCTGCACCATCTAAAGTTTTGTTGAACAAATGAAGGAAGAAAAGCAGCTTTGTCTGTAGACAGCTCTTTAAGTGACCTGATATTAGACTCTAAATTTTCCTAAGAGATGTATGGGAGCACTGTAGTGTAAAGCTCATTTTCATCAGAGTGACTAATTCAAAGAGGTTTAAAACTAGAAGACAGAATAGAGCCCACCCACGCCAGCCAGGGCGGTGACCCTGAAGGAATCCCAGTGGAGACACAGTACTCACAGGGCCAGGAAGAAATGGACCCTCTGGTACTGCCATGGGAAGAGTCCAGCACAGCTAAAATACACAATGACCATGGCCAGGAGGTGCAGATGGGGAGAGAGGAGGACAGTCAGAGAGCAGGCACACCTGGAAGAGTAGGGATGAGTGAAAAGGGACTCGGAGGTGACAGCAGGGCTCCACTGGGACAAGAGACCACCGTGCAATATAGACTGGTTATTATGGGGATGTTAAGAGATTGCAGGTTGTCTGCCAGGAAACTCATTCATGATGCGAGAAGGGAGAGAAGAGGAAAGGGAGCCCACATTGCACAGGTAACCAGGAAGACACCTCCAAAGGTCTCCTGCAGATGGGGCATTAAGGTCACGTGCATCAGAACAGGCTCCTCTAAGTTAGTGCAAATGTGTTCCCCAAACCTGAGGGAAAAGATGAGGAGGTTCAGGCAGCCCTAGCCAAAGAAGCCATGTTGAAGGATGATTATGGCCTGGACTCAAATCGCAGAAGTTGCAGGTAGAGGAGGGTGAGACCTTCCAGTCTGCCAAGTCCATCAATGTGTGTAAAGGAGACAATATTGAGACCCAGTAGGCCTGGAGCATGGGAGGTTAGGTGGGAGTTCTGGGAGGGAATGAAATTGGGCCACAGTCTTGGAACTCTGCCATTCCAATGCAATGGCATAGCCACAGAACAGTCTCATGGAAAAAAAACTCACCTTATCAGAAGCCCTCAGGTTCATGTCCCATGCCAGGAATTTTCTGATGATAGGATCCTCTGCAGAAAGAGTTCAATGTTAGTGTGGAATTGTGAAAGTTTTCAGTATAAGAGAAAGAACAGGGAGTAAATACCCATCTTCCTGCAAGTTGGAGCTGAATGGGACCAGGGTCAGGCAGATAGGAAAGGGAGAAAGGAAAATATTAACATTTAGGAAAACATTTGGGAGAGAAAATGGGCTCATTCCTGCCTTTCCATAAGATCAACAGTACAAGCCATGTAACAGCAATTATCTGCCAGTTTGCGTCTGTAAAGCAGAATATGGTAGCATCTCTTGGCAGATGAGTGCACCCCCTCAGAAGACAGAGGTCATCCAGGTCATTTTCTGTTGTGATGGCCCTATCTGGGTGTGACTATGGCCCTGTCAGACACCGAGTGCTACAGGCATTTCCAGTCATGAAAGTCAACAGTTCCTCTCAATGAGAGGGTCCATTTGGAATGAAGTTTTAAGCTCCCAAGTCAGGAGGACGTGTTTTGAGGAATGGGTCATCATTGTCATCTTTGTGTTTGGGGCAAGATAGCATGGGAGTACTTCAGAAATTGATACCTTGTAGGGTACATAGTCCTCCCTTATACTGGTGAGGGAGGTGACTGCTAGTCTTCTTGGTTCCTAACCAGCCAGGTTGGAGGTATGGTGTGGGGACTCCTTACCCAACAGCCTGGTAAAGGCTGCAAGGTGCTCAGGCAGCACTGAGGACAGGTGTTTCATCGTCCTCTTCTTCTTGAGGCCACAAGCCTTCTTTGTGCCACCTGTGTGTGTAGCTGGCACAGGGCTGAGACATCCCCAAGTTTCCTGTGTCTCCTCATACAACAGGGACAGGTACTGTCTCCACCTCTTGCAAGGTGGCAGCCTCGTATCTTGCCTTGGTGCTATGTCAGCCTCCCAGGGCCCTCCCTCCTTTTCCATTGATATTGACGGCAAATTTCTCTTCCACTTGTGGAGAGAAGATTGAGCTGGGAGGTTGGGGTTCCCATTAAGAACTGAGTCAGAGCCCTACTGATGATCCTTCTCTTGCTCTGCCTCTGATTCTGGCTCTGAAGTGTTACAGTCTTTCTGTTTCTTTGGGGGAGGGGACTGAGGCATGAGGTAGGATGGTAGTGTAGGGACTCCATCAACAAAAATGAGCAGGTGCTCATGCAGCTCCTCCTCAGGCTCTTAGAAACAGTTTCTCTTCCTCTTCTGAATACGTATCTGAGGTACAAGGCCAGGTGCTTTCCATAGGCCTGAGGAAAGAAATGCAGGTCCAGTGTGAAGCTTTTGTCTTTGGAATTCAATGTTTGACTAACTCAACTCTCTCCTTCCATTTCAACCGCAAGTTTCTGCTGCTGTTGTCACCTTCCAAATCATTGTTCCTTAGCTGATGTTCATTTTAATCCAGTTCTCTTTGCTGCTTTCCCCCCACACTATGCCTAGAATATTTTACTTAAGTAGGTTTTTTTACCTCCCGCATTCATTGTTGGATCTCACCTCCTAACGCCTGTCCTGCTCACCAGGTTTCTATTCTGTGCCCGTCCTTATCCCACCTCCTGCCTTGTCTGGTTCCAGTCTTTGTCGTCCTGAGTAATCCAGCCTTCCTCCTTCTGGATTCCTTCCTCCTTACTGCTTACCTTCTCAGACTTTTTATGTCTCTAGCCCCCTCACCTGATTGTCCTGGGATCTCATCATCAGCTATCACTACCTCCACAGCATATTCTGGACAGATGGGATGTGAACTGTGGTCCTTAGACTGGAAAGATGGTTCACCAGTGGCCATGCCTTCTCCCAAATTCCACTATTCTCTCCACAAAACCGACTCCTCTCTATCCACAGTGTGCTTCAGTAAATTCATCCAAATGAAGCCACTGCTTGTTCTAGAATGAGGGCACAAACCAACAGTGGAGAACAGATCTGAGAAATAGCTGTTAAACACTGGGTTTCCAACCCCCACAAGGCATTTGAACCATCCAGTCAGGGAGCTCGGAAGCCTGTGAGGTCATCAGACATTCTGACCTGGTAACAAGTTTGAAGGACAACACATCAAACTGCGAGAATGGACGTCTGGGATATATGCCTTCCCCTCTGTCCATCATCTTCAAGTCACTGCTGGGCCCCGAAGAACCTCCCTGTGACTGGCCTCTCAACCGGGGTCCATAAACTCCTACAGCCAGATGAGATTATCCTGCATGCAGAAAGGAACTGACTTCCCCAGTCAGAGTAGAGAATTTTTCTCTTTCCTGGTGTTTCTCAATAGCAGATATAGAGGAAGTAAAAAGTGTCAGGAAAGAAAAAGAAAAAGAGCAGAGCAGCTTTGTCTGGGTGCCAAGAGAAAGTTGATTGGGCCTAAATCTTACCATCATGAGTGTAGCAATGGGTTATCAGTTAGTGGTGGATGTCTGTTTTGAGGTCTGTCAGGATCCTTCCTGGGCTGGACTTCATGAAAATGGATATTGCTGAGCTCGCATTCTCT